TCCAGATCTCCTACCACGAGTCAATTATCTGCTTCAAACAACAATGCAGGAAACTGGCCCCTGTCAACGTCTGTGAGGTTATTATCAGCGAACTCTTTAGAGTTATTAAACGTACAAATCACCCCAAAGCATTCAACACTTCTTTTTCCTTCATCTCCATACCATGAAGAGGCACCGTTAACAAGAGAGACCACCTCATAACAGTTATTTTGCTTGATAGGTACCGCATCATCAAACAAAACAGTAAAGCCGTAGTAATTAGTAACCTCTTGATGTTTTTTTTCCGAACTGTACACACCTGATTTGTTTGCGACACAGGAACCACTCACAGTATCGATCAATTGAGTTCTGACGGTGTAGGTGCCTCCCTCGCGGCCAAAATGCCCCACTCCAATTAAATGAATGTCCTTGTTTACAGTGAAACAGATGCGGTCAGATGCGGTACCCCCGTACCGCCAAGGTTCTCTAAGAGAGAGAAATCGATGACAAGTACCGGCGACGCGCCTCGTCCTTGGAGATGCCGAGAACTGCAAAGGCGGCGTTAACATGTTGTTATAGTGTTTCATCAAGTCAACAATTTCCTTCGTTGTCAAAATATTACTGTCTGGAACGACAGCAAGAAACTCTTTCTGTGACATTACTGGGAAGCGTATGCCGTTCAATAATTCCTCTCCAATAATTTTTCTCTTCGTTTCTCCATCAGGATTTAAACCTTGTCTTTCAATTTCTTGTGTTGCCCACCGATCAACAGCCTTAAAAAGTTCAGCTTCCTTTACGTTCAATACTTGCTTCTTCACAACAGATTCAACTAGTGACCGTTGAAGCGTCACCAATTCATCTGACGTCACAGCTTCCTCTGTGTACTTCTCGATCACTTCCCAGCATCGGTTTTCCAAATCTTGATCATCAAATTTCTTCGCATGCGGCAGAATTGAGAACACATTGGATGCCTCCAGGTTTTCATGAAGATACACACCGCACTTATCAGCGAGCGAAGGAAGCATATATTTCTTTGCCAAGTACAGAACATGCATCACATTACTTCCGGTTAAGTTCACTTCATCGGTGTACAAATAACGAAACAACTCCAACAGACTCTCGTACTCACAGTCGGGTAATTCAATAGAATTTCTAGTCTCCGCCATTTCACCAAAGAACATGGCATAGAATACAGGACTGCTGATTGCAAGAACAAACTTGTGAGCAGGAATCATCTTCTGGCTTTCGCTTTCGCTATTCGACGCAGGAACGATAAACTTCACATCGCTTAACAACTCGTTGTTAAAAATGAACCTTGTTCTTTCGCTGATCGTCAAACATTTTGTTTGCCAGTGATCATCGGCCATTTCGCACATATATTGCTCGACAGGACAGAGAAATTGTGACAAAGTGTAGAACAGTGTAATGTCTGAAGCAGAACGTAGCTTTGGTATGGTTGGTCACGTGTCTAGATGGGCCACTGCTAAGAATTTATGCACAGGACACAACACAAATAGAGGATGGTATACCTGTGGTACCACTAAAAGGAATAAGGATAGACTCGGTTTTCTTTGTCCCACGTTATCTCGTATATTGAAACAATTTCAAAACGGAGACCTAGACCTTTTAGGTCATATAAATTATAGCATGACTTCCCTTCAACGGGTCAAGCACAAATATTCAGAACAATGACCATTACTATTACACAACAAACAAACTGAAGTACAAGATTCCATGTTTCCTTTGTCAGCCTTTCCTGTAACAACTAATAACAACAGTAAAAAGCTGTTATAACTAATATTAACAGTAAAAAGGATAACTGAAAATACAGACGATAAGCTTACATTTGTTAATGAAGCTTTCCGATTGTGTTATAAAATTTAAAGAAAAAAAACTACCAGTCAAAACAAATGGTAAAATATATACAGCTAACAGGGGAAAAATAAACTGAAAATCTCAAGCTTCAGTCTCAAAAGAGAAATACAAAAAGCCACGATTCCAATATCCCGTAAAATTCCGAACATAAGCCCCGGGGCTTGTGTTTTTCAACGCCCCTTTTTGAGGTACTTATTTTTGGAGGGGCTTTTATTCGGTGGGGCTTATCAATGGAGGGAAATTAGCGTTTCACAATCGATTGGGCTAGGATTACAGTTGGAAGGAAATTTACCGGTTTTGCTTTGTTTTACTTTGTATTTGAGGGCAATTTCCAAGTACAAGCCCCCTGGGGGGCTTATATTTGGAGGGGCGATTTAACGGAGGGTTTTTTTGCGTTACGAGTTTGGGGGGCTTATATTTGGAGGGGCTTATACATGGAGGGGCTTATTTTCAGAATTTTACGGTATAAGCACAACAGGTAACAAAGTCTCACTTGTAAATTTATTTGCCTTACTTTCTATTTTACAAGATATTTACAGGTCGTCTTTTAGCGATGAGTCCTCAAGAAAAAAATCGAGCGATATAGTGAAAATATCGAATGGGCGCTCAGCACGTTCTCTCAACCGTACGAGCAGCCATTTTGCGTTTTGCTAAAATAAGGATCACGTGATAAAAGTTCAGTGATAATATAGTTGGGAACAAACCATCATGAGATAGACTGCAAAACAGTCCGTATTGTTGCGTGTTCAAGTGCGCGCGAGCAGTCGAACAAAAGGTCTGGAACAAGGCTAAAAACAGAGAGCGAGACTGGGAAGCCCTATAAGCGTGTGAGGCTCGCGAGCTTCGCGCGCGTAAGACTCGTACGCTACGCTTTACCGATTTCTTTACTGATTTTGAGAAAAAAACCGACTGTTTTACAGTCTAATCACGAGAAGGCGTTTCAATCTTCCCTGAATCGACTCAAAATCGGGTTTGTGGGTTCGGATAGAGGATACTTCCGCGATCACGAAAGTCAATGTTTACAAACATAAATTAAAGTCAGTGCTTCGCGTGTACGACTTAGTCAATTCAAGATTTTTTTTACTAGAAACTAACATTTTTCACAGGCGGATCAGTAAGGAATGGTGCGTCGCTTTACCAGGCGTGAAAGACGTATTCTTCAGTGCAACTTTGCTGGTTTGGTGTTCCAGCAGCGCAATATCACCCGGCCTCCGCGACACTTCCCTTTTTTTACTTTCCGTCACTAGTACCGTAAACTGCCGTTTATGAGCCTTCCCACTTATACCCCACCCCCTCCCTCCCACACACTTTCAGGCCCATCTACATGTAACCAAAAAATACACCCGATTCTCAGCCCCTTAGGATTAGAATAAATTTGATTAATTACGACGTTTTGAGGCTTCATCATTATCGGGTCAAGCTACGTAGCTCAGGCATTTATAAGCCTATCAAGCCATCCATCGCGATCCTGCAACAAAGCAGGGAGGTCGTTTGGAAGGCATCCCGTGTCTCTTCAGAGTTGGTCGATGTAGGTGATTGCAGGACGACCAATCCGCCTTTTACCATGGTTTGGTAACCAGAGCAGTAAATCGCTAACTCTACTGCGGTTATAAGCCCCCTGGGATATAAGCCCCTCCGTTTATATTACCCCTCTTAAAACCCCATGCGAAGATGACTGTATTATAACCGGCAGTTAAAGGTACTTGTTTTAGAGCGAGTGATTCTCCATGCAACCAAAATTACGTAATTTACGTCATCAGTTAAAAGTCACTTGGGATATTGGCTGCACGATTCGAAAACCATTTTCAGGGCAAAGTAAACTAAATTATGGCTCTAGTTTCCACTCAAACCATCTGAAACTTCGCATCCAATCGAAGATTTCAAATGGAAAAGTTAATCACTGAATAAAAACAATTTTCGCTTCATATACACTCAGAAGCTAAGAAAACTCACATGTAAGCCTTTTTACTACAAGTCCTACAACATTTCACGACAAAATCAAATTAAACAGGCGTGGGGCTTGCGTTGATTGCAGTATTCGACTCTAATTTATTGCCTGTATATAGTCTTCTGATCCCTGCTTCACCGGATTTATCACACAAGCACTCGGGCTAAATAAATTGAGCCTAAAGAAAAACCGTCTTTTGAACAGCGATTAAATTTACCAATCGACAGTGCGAAAATCGACCGTGTGAATATTTTTTGAGTTCGATTATGTTCGATTACCGGATTCAATCCTAATCAATCCACAGACTGAGTTCGATTGACTGGTTCGATTCGGTTCCGGATTCCCTACCACGAGTCAAATATCTGCTTCAAACAGCAATACAGGGAATTGGCCCATCTCCACGACTGTGCAGTTATTATCTGTTTTCTCTTCAGAGTCACTAAACGAAAAAATTACCCCAAAGCATTCAACAATTCTTTTTCCATTATCTCCAAACCATGAACTGAGACCGTTAACAAGAGAAACCACCTCATAACAGTTATTTTGCTTGATAGGTACCGCATCATCAAACAAAACAGTAAAGCCGTAGTATTTAGTAATCTCTTGATGTTTTTCTTCTGAACTGTACACCCCTGATTTGCTTGCGACACAGGAACCACTCGCAGTATCGATCAATACAGTTCTGACGGTGTAGGTGCCTCCCTCGCAGCCAAAATGCTCCACTCCAGTTAAATGAATGTCCTTGTTCACGGTGAAACAAATGCGGTCACTTAAGTTACGCGTGTACCACCAAGGACCGAGGCTGGTCGATTCACTAAAAGAAAGAAATCGATGACAAGTAACGACGCGCCTCGTCCTTGGAGATGCCGAGAACTGTAAAGGAGAAGTTAACATGCTGTTGTAGTGTTTCATCAAGTCAACAACTTCCTTCGTTGTCAAAATATTACTGTCTGCAACGACAGCAAGAAACTCCTTCTGTGACATCAGTGGAAACCTTATGGCGTTCAATAATTCCTCTCCAATAATTCTTCTTTTTGTTTCTCCATCAGGACTTAAACCTTGTCTTTCAATTTCTTTTGTTGCCCACCGATCAACGGCCTTAAACAGCTCCGCTTCCTTCACGTTCAATAGTTTCTTCTTCACAACAGATTCAATTAGAGACCGGTCAAGCGTTACAAATTCATCTGACGTCACAGCTTCCTCAGTATGCTTCTCGATCACTTCCCAGCATCGGTTTTCCAGATCTTGATCATCAAATTTCTTCGCGTGCGGCAGAATTGAGAACACATTGGATGCTCCAAGGTTTTCGTGCAGATAGGCACTGCACTTATCAGCGAGCGAAGGAAGCATATATTTCTTTGCCAAGTACAGAACATGCATCACATTACTTCCGGTTAAGTTCACTTCATCTGTGTACAAATAACGAAACAACTCCAACAGACTCTCGTACTCACAGTCGGGCAATTCAATAGAATTTCTAGTCTCCGCCATTTCACCAAAGAACATGGCATAGAATACAGGACTGCCGATTGCAAGAACAAACTTGTGAGCAGGAATCATCTTCCGGCTTTCGCTTTCGCTATTCGACGCAGGAACGATAAACTTCACATCGCTTAACAACTCGTTATTAAAGATGAACCTTGTTCTTTCGCTGATCGTCAAACATTTTGTTTGCCAGTGATCATTGGCCATTTTACCAAATATTGGTATACAGGACAGAGAAAACTAACACAGTGCAGTGTTATGTCTGGTGCGAAACGTAGCTTTTGTACGTTGGTCACGTGATTGGATAGGTCACCCACCACAATAATTTATGCACAGGACACAACAAATGGGGCTGCTGTACCTGTGGTACTACTAAAATTATTTGTCATCACTTGCTTTGGCATCAATAGGAATAAGGATGGACTTGGCTTTCTTTCTCTTATGCCATCTTGTATACAGAAACAATTTTCCTTAGCCTATAGGCACTAGGTTTAGGTCATATATAGCAAGACTTCCCCTCAACAGGTCAAGCACAAGTATTCATGCCAAGTGTGAGGCCTAAGGCGTGATTGTCACGCCTGGTTAAAACTGGTGAGCCATTGCAGCATTAAATGTCTCATTTTGAAAAATATATCAATAATTTAAAGATGGCCTTTACTCTTTCAAAAAACCCCATACTTTCCTGTAATAATGAATATTGACAATAAAAAGGATAAGCTCACATGTATTTTAAAATAACCTTTCTATTGTGAACAATGAAGTTTTCAATACAACTGCATAGTAACTTGCCTTGATTAAAAATTTTATATTTTCTATGTGCTTAAATATTATTTTTACATACATTTTTTAATTTTTTTACTCTAATATCTTAAACGATTCCATGATCATTCTATAGCAGTGTGATCTCCTAAATCCAGTGTAAAATGAAATTAAAATGTTATATTATTACCTTCTAAATTTAGGTTACTATAAATATGATATTGTAAGTTCTCACAATTTCTTTAGCATGCACTTGCAGCCTTTGAATTAACAATCCACTCATTGTCACCTGCAAATGGAGATATAACTTTAGGTAAGACGTTGTGCCATAAACCAAACTTAACTCTGTTTAAGTCCATCTGCAAATCAGTGCCAAAATCCATGTATTGGACCTCACAACTCTGTATCAGGATATCTCAGGATTTGAGTAAATGGTTAAATGTAAATGGCCTGTTAAAAAAGCCATTGCTGATTTGCCAATCAGTATGAAAGGAATGAATTTCAAATACCCATCTGGTAATTCGCTGCATTGAGTCTGTTGGGGACACTGCAGAACAACGATCTCAAATAAGACTTCACAGACAGTCACTGCATGCACTTCACATTAAAGAGAATTTGCAGTTTACCGTTATAAGCACTCTAAACTTCGTAGAAGAAAATACAGACCACTAAAAGTTTAAGGGAAGTGTTGCCTGATATCAAATTAAAATTAAAGTACAAGCTCTCATACCAAACATACGCACATGCAAATTATTTCAAAGCACCCACGCAATAAAAATTACTGTAAGTTTACTGAGCCATGTTTTGCTACTTCATACACCAATTTAATTGTTAAACAATTAATTGTCATACACCAGTTAAATTATTAAACAATGTACTTGTAATTGGTATAGCTGCAAAAGGTGACTTAAATGCTTTGCAATGGGAGTGCATAGCAGCCTATCAATGGCTCTGGCTACTCTAGCTACCAGTATTTCTAATTAACCACTTCTCTGAGTGACAGGTTGCCTTCCCCACCTATAGTATTAATTGATATCAGTTTAGTAACGAACATTGTTTTAACAAAAGTAGCTTAACTCTGATGTGAAGATATATCACAGCTGAATAGATGTAATTATTAATTGTGGTTCCAGTAAAATACAAGCTGCTGTCTGTTTATCACCGCAACGAAAGCTTTATGCCTTCTACTGAATGTTCTCATATATCTTTGGGCAAGCCATGCATTGGCTATGTAAAATATTCCATGTGGTACCTTGAAGTCCATTTACTGCAGCTGTAACTAATACTATTCCCCTATTATATATTATATTGCCACCACTTAATTAATATTTTTTTCTTGAAGGTATATTTACCCTAAAAGTTTTTTCAAAACTGCTAATTTGATATCAATATAATAATTTTTAATTTTTTAAATGACACTAAACATCTTGTTCTTTGATATCTGTTTGCATAAAACATCCAAGTTCCTACTGAGGTCCGTCACGATGAGGTGACAAATATCATTTTTGCCCCTCACCCAACCAAAATACCTGATAGGACTTTCCTTTACAAAGAGACAAACAGGACAGCTGGTCTGAGCCAATCAAATATGCTAGAAAATGCAATAGCCAATACAAACTAGCCAATCAGTGCTAAGTGCAATGATTCTTGAAAATGTATACAAGCACTTAAACTTTGGACAAGAATAAGAAAACACTGATAGTTGTGTTTAGATGCAGACATTACAAAACAAAAGGACAAAGTCTGTGTAAATCCTTTGAGGTAATGAACGAAATGTTTACTTTCAATAGTGTGTCCAACAAGAAAGCTTTGCTACTTTGGACACTGACAGTACACAAATGAACTTAATGTCTTTTAGTTAATTATTATTTTATTTATCAGCTACTTTATTTTCCTACCTACCTCAACACTTACATAATTATATCTTATATAGTGTGACATAAAGAATTTAAACGTGGCTAAATGTAATTTAGGCAAGGTTAATCTCGAGCTAATGCTGCCAGCAGTCTCGCTCAGTTTGCACATGATCTGTGGGGGAGCCCCTTTGGAGTTCGCAGGGGCAAACTACGTACAGCCTTGCTTTCTAGCTATCGTTGCGATCAATGCTTTTGTGAGCGAATCTTTGCGGATTCATGGAGACCTCCCTGCGGTGCCTGAATTACCTCGGGCCCTTCCCCGCTAACTTTTAAGGCACCGCAGTTCCCAAGCTCACCAATAATTGGCGATGAGTTTAATCAAATTTCCATGTTTAAATTAAGTATTTGCATTGTTGCTTTGTCTTCTTTTTACTTGAAATTGCCATTTTCACATGTGGCACAGTATCACTGCTGGAGGAGGGTAATTTTAAAATTCATACTTCATGACTACAAAATGCCACAGACAAAAGTAAGAAAGAGCAATACGATTTCTACGTTTGTTTACTTGTAAAGAATAAGTTGACACTTTTTTAGACCTTGCAGTGCAATTTCGTTTCAACTACAAAAGGTTCGAGTGTACAATATTTCTCGTCTATGACAGTGTACTTCAAAATCCAGATTAACTAACCAGCCATATAATTGATAATTAAGAAGACAGTACATGCTTGTCCAATTTGGAAGTAACTGAATTCAAAAAATTCCTCAGACGCCGAAATTGGACTTGGCCTTACATGGCCTCATCCATTTTGGCTATCCTTGGAATTTTCTTATTTCCAAATGGGACTGCATGTAGTCCTATTACACATACAAACATTTCAAGTCATTAAATTATTAGATATCAAAACCCTCTTCAAAGAGTGCACAAATACATCAAGACACTTCTAACAAGCTAGTTACATTCTTTTAATGACCACCTGATTTATGTCAGTTGTGTGGCAAAATATCCACAACTAAATAACACTGCTAATAATTTTAAGGCTGCCGTAGTGACTTCAGATCACTTGGATGCAGCTTCTTGAAACTTGAAAGTCTAGTTAAGACAAGTCTATGTATTTTGTTTGTACTTGGTGAATCTTTTTTCTTCATTCACTTGATGTAATAGCAAAATGATATACCAAGGTGTTTTATTTAATATTAAGCCAACAGCATGCAGAGAATGAAATAAATGAAGCACCTTCCGTCATTAAAAATTGTACATGATCCATCAAAATGCCATGATTAATAACACTGACTGCCATGGGACAAAATAATGATAAACAAACCCTATGATACACATTCCACAATAAACAATATCAGTCATTACAGCTCAGCAAAAAGCAACTTTTCTCACAACAACAGGGTGCAAAGAAAATGGTTTTTACAGCTTGCCATTCGGGTAAGCTGAAGCCAGCATTTACTAGCCCAGACGTCATTTCAACGCCCCAAAAACTTTTTGACTAGCAGGATTGATTTCAAAGTTCTTCTGTTATTCGAATTCCTCAAAAACCATCACTAGCCCATCGGGCAAGATAAAACAGAATTCACTAGCCCGATAGCAAAATCCACTAACCCAAGGCTATCGGACACTACTTTCTTTGCACACTGCAACAACTTAGCAAACCATAACCAGAGGCACCCAACACCCCTCTTCTGTAAAAAATCCATTTGGAGAAGCACAAATAGCCTAGAATTTTCTATACCTTGAGGGGGGCTAACAAATTCTAGATGACCATTCCATTCACCTACTATTTTTGAAGCTTATCTAATAAATTCCCTACGATTTTCTGAAGTTTAATTTTTCACATTTCACTCCCCAGTCATTAAGTTATTTTTCACAGAAAAAGGTTAAATCCTAACATTTTCGGATTCAGAAATGAGATGGAAAGAGGAATCAGAAAAATTCTATCTTTCGTATAACTTTAACTTGCATTTAAGGTCTTCAGGAAAATAATACTGAATCCCTGGGAATTTCAAAAAGACTCAAGTTGTCCTATGATGCCCGAACAGATATAAATTGTATGGCGCCAATTAGAATGTATTTCTAAAGATCTAAAAGTACTCTGGGTTTTCTAAAACTTAAGTGTTTTCAATGCATTTAGGAGGAAATCGTCGTTGGGACATGCCCCCTGCATAACTGCTAAAATAATCTACTGCAGGAATTTCTATGGATAGCACTAGTAAGTAATTACTGAACTGTTTGCATATCTAGAAATCTTCAGTATACAGGTGATGATCTAGCTTCTAGTTAGGGGCATGCTTTCCATGAAATTTAAATGAAGCAAAGCGAGTCGGGCTGTCAATCTCGTCTGTGACATGGTGCTCCGCAAGTATGTGTGCAGTTGCCTTAAAGCCGACGGATTTCTCCCACACTCATATATGGCGATTGGTAAGGTGACAAATATATTTATATATATATATTTTTATTATCCAGATTTCAACTTGGAAAGTTCTTTTTTTAATTGAAAATATGACCGATTTTGTTGTAAAACAGTAGAAACTGGTGTGGATCTGTGCCTGGTATAGTCACATAATCCCTGAAACTAGTAGACGTTTCTGAGAAAATGTTCAAGGTATACCAGGAAATAAATCAAAAATAAACTTTAAGGTTCTAAAAACCCAATAAAAGTCAGATCCTGAGATTAATATATTATTAAAATTAAAATCATTATCAATAAAAATTTTAAAAAAATATATTACCTACAATAAATAGAAATATTATTGTTGATAATAAAACTAAATATCACCACTGTGTGGTCAAGGAAGAACATTTACTGAGATAGAGAGTCTAATAATTATTCAATTGAAGCAAAATTATGATGGAAATTTATATCCAAAAAGGCATATTTGGCAGACAATTATCTTATTTCTACATTCAAATTTAAAAAAATTTTGATTTTAAAATCATCCGATAACTTTGGAAGGAATGATCTTGTGAATATCATTTCTGTCGATTTCTAAAGGAGAGCCGACAAGTCATTACTTATGCAAAGTCTGTTTCGTCTTCCGTTCAGTCATCTTGAGACAAGAAAAACTCTGAACTTAAGCCAAAATGAACCATGCTAAATCCTAAACTTACAATAATAAACTTGCAAGAGTCATTGTGGTTCATTTAAACTGAATTAAATCGGGATCAGGACAAAATTCAGACTGCTAACGTGCTATCGAAATAGTAAACAATTGATCAAGGAAGATTTAAATTCAGTCACACAGGGTGTGTCGACGATCACAGCTGAAAGTTTACATAAAAATATCCTAAAATAACATATTGTAGTCAATTAGTTTTACTTAGAAATATTAAAATTATATGTTCGAGCCACTTGCGACAAGATCGAGGCAATTTAGTGAGAAATGTACCAGATTTAGCAGAGGAATTGTTGTCGACCAATGCAGTGTTCGCTACGTTGCGTTTTAGCGCATTAGAATGACCTGAAGCTGAGAGCTCGACACGATAAACGTTCTACAAAATCGTGCACATTTTAGCCTCAAAATACATCTATCATACGAAAAATAAAAGTTTTTTTACTTTAAATTTAACTTTTAAGCCTCAACAAAGACTGAAACCATGCCAGACAAACGTCGATTGGTTTCAGTAGTTATCAGAACTGACCCTTTGAAAATGGATATTGCGTGGTTTAACTGTCGAAGTTGCGTTGTCTAACGAATATAAGTTTCGATTCTTACAGTTCAATTTACGGCAAGAAACGCCTGATCCTAAACAGAAAAAAATAAAAAATTATTTTTATGAACTCAAAAGTAAGAATAGGGGTAACACCTACAAAAATCGCCCAGAAATTAAGAAGATCCAACGGCGAATGGATTACCGTAAATAACAAGATGGCGGTTGTTAATTTCGGGAGATTGGTGGATGAAAACAACCACGTTTCTTCCTCACTGAACTAATAAACTTCAAAAGAAAGTAGAAAAAACTAAAGAAGACAGTAAACTGAATCACCTTATGCAGAAAAAGAATAACCTTACCGCGCAAAATACGCAAATATAAACGGTTGTAAATCAAAGTAAAAAGGAAGGAAAACTCGAAGGAGCCGCCAGGTTTAGACTTGATACATATTATATCCTGTCGATATACGCAAAAGTTAGACGCATGTTACCCCTCTAAATTACACTAAAATGACCTGCTACATGCAAAATACTTTAAAATTATCATTTTAAGCAAGTGCGATCTGTTTTGACATGGTTTTCAGGCCAAACTAAGCGAAAAATTTTTGAAAGCTGCAAAGTTGGATGAGTTTTTCGGATCGAAGCAGGCGCCACGCTAAGATGCTTTGCACCAAACATGACTTTCTCTTCACTTTTCTGATATAAAATAACACACATATCTACAAAATCTTTCGAAAATGAGTATCACTGGCTCCTAAAATCATTTTCATGGCACAGATGTATAAAATGGAAGAAAAATTGAGATTTTAGGGGAAATGTTTACGAGGAAAGCAATTACGACAGCTAACCGCCACTTCTCAAGATGTGTTTGTTGCCTACGTTTAGCAAAGTTTTAGACATACTTTCGTCATGCCATCAACCCTCAATCAGGTCTAAATGCAAAGTTAGAAGGTTAAACTCTCACAAATCATTCAAAATGCAACAATATGTCAAATACTCTCAACGCTGTAGGACGTTCTTTGCAAAATGTCAAAGTAAACCAAACGGCAGTTTCTCAGTTATTGTTTAACTGTAACATATACAAAAGAGAATTCGTTCAAAACTCACCGTGGACAGGAGCCCAAACTAAGCAACTTCCGGATAGAGTGGTTTTCTTGATGATCGTTCGGCGGGATTATCGTATAATGGAGAAGAAGTTAGGACAAGAAGCACAACTACTCCAATGGCGGTCAGAAATGGCTACACTTCGTGTGTGTTTCCTCGGTGGTCCGCATGTTGTGTATGAATACGATGCGCGTTCGTTGCTGCGTCACTTCTCCCCAAGCGACGCCGAGTGGAGAGTTCGTGAGTTTGATTGTCGCGCTATCGAATCCCTCGTGAAAACATCGTTAACAAATTAATATAATCAGTCATCATGTCCGACGCACCAGCAACCAAGCCAGCAGCCAAAAAGAAGGCGCCAAAGAAGCCTGCCGAGCACCCCAAATATGAGGAAATGATCACCACCGCGATTAAAGAGCTGAAAGAGCGATCGGGCTCCTCGCGACAAAAGGTTACAAAGTACATTAGCGAACATTACAAAGTTGGTGACAATGTTGGAGTTCAAGTGAAGCTGAATTTGAAGAGACTAGTCGCGGCTGGAAAGCTAACGCAAACCAAGGGAGTTGGAGCGTCGGGTTCGTTTAAAGTGAACAAGGCCGCCGAGCCGAAGAAAAAGCCCAAAGCTCCAGCAAAGAAGAAGGTTGCCAAAAAACCTGCTGCTAAGAAACCGGCAAAGAAACCAGCAGCTAAGAAGACGACAAAAAAGACTGCTGCCAAAAAATCTCCCAAGAAAAGCACCGCAAAGAAACCTACGAAGAAATCGCCAAAGAAGCAGACAACCAAAAAGACAGCTACAAAGGCACAATCGAAAAAGCCTGCCAAGAAACCCGCGTCAAAGAAGCCTGCAGCCAAGAAGGGAGCGAAAAAATCGCCCAAAAAGGCGGCAAAGAGCAAGAAGTAATTGAAAAGACAGTGAAATCTGGACACTTTAATTGTTATTATGTTTATAAATACATAAGTTTCCGTTCTCTTCAAACTTTTGCGGTAGTAGATGGTGCTGATGATAAATACTACAGAGCATGCACTTAAGAATTTAAAATTCTTCTTGTAGATGTGAATTTCTGTTTGCGGTCTAGGCTTTTTAGAGATTTATTTATGTAAAGTAAAACTGAAATGGTGTACGCGTTGAAGAGGAGTTTTGTAAATAAACAAAGACAGGTTTTTAATACGAAATTTTTGTTGATTTGCTTGATATCTGTGTTTTTTCTTTCGTACCAAAAGAGAACCGGGAAAGTACTCTACCCTGGGAAAAGGTTGGTAGTTGATTTTTTTTTTTCGGTTAAGTCTTCTTTCCCCCAAAAAAGCCTTAGATGTGTCTCCACCGAAACACGCAAGCTAAAAGGGAAAAACACTTCTTGTACCAAGGGCTGTGGTGGGCGGATCCAGGCGTTCAGGCCCGGGATGTTTAAACGTTGGATAGCGCTATCCAGCGGATAAGTTAGTATTAAGGAAAAGCATTTGCGCTTTTCAGTGGACAGCGTTATCCACCTTTTTAACAACTGGGACCAGATGGTGAGGAGGGCGCAAAGAAAAGCGAGCAGGAAAAGAGTAAGGGGGTGGGGTAGGGAGAAAGGGCGAAATTTCCCTGCCAGCAGAGGTCTCTTTTCGAATACCAGTGAAAAGCTTTCGGATGAAGAAGCCCACTTCTCTTTTTCTCTCTTCTTTTCACTTCTCTTAAAACCTATCAATGATCATTCTTATTATAAAGAACGTAGAAGCTGAGGACTAGTAAACTTAATTAACAAATACACACGTCAATGAATTTCAGGTCATCTTAAGTAGTCTATGGAGAAACTATCAGTCTCTCCTAACCTCAGTGAATCTACGGAGCCCAGTTAGTGCCACCTAATTTTTCTCATCCAGTTTCTTTTTCACGACGTCGGTTTTCTCTGGCACGAATTTTTTTTTTTCGGCACGACTTTTTGTTTTCGGCACCATTTTTTTTTCGGCACGGCCAGGACAGGTCACCGCTGACCAATATTATTGTAGTGGTATGGAGCACATGGTCGTTGCCGGGGGGGGGGGTAATCCCATATATGGGCTATATAAGTACGTGCCCCGGAATAGGGTATGGTTTTTGAGGTTCTCGGTCCTTAAACAGGGTATGTTTTTTGACCCTTCTGTTTCTGTATCATGGTTATGATTGCATATTATTAAACTAGGCTTATTCTAGTATTTTATGCTTGATGCTATACATCCAATGTTACGGAGAAGAAATAAAGTTTTCCTTTTCATGCTATTAATAATTTTGTTTTTTCCTTGAATAGGGTGTCATTTTTCGGCTTTGGGCCTTAAAAAGGGTATCAGTTTTCGCTTTCTTAGTCCTTAAATAGGGTTAGGGTTCACGAACCTTCGCGGTACACCCCTATTCGCGGGAGTACCCTCCCGGGGGTCGCCATAATTCATCAAACAAGATGGTTGATACATTACTGCAACCAATATCAAAAATACAGAAATCATACTTTAAAGATACCACAGACTTTATAAATTTTATTGAAAACACAAAGGTGAAAAAACGGACATTTCTTGTTTCGATGGACGTCACAAGTCTTTACACAAATATACCACAGAACGAGGGCATTGAAATTGTCTGTAAAGCATATTAAAACTTCTACAAAGACAACCCTCCTATTGCTACACATTACCTGCAGGAAATGCTTAGACTAATCCTCAAAGAAAAGTCTTTCCAATTCAATGGAAAACACTACCTACAAAACCATGGTACTGCAATGGGCACAACGACAATATTTTTATGGCACATATTAAAACAACAATTCTAAGCAGTACCGTTTTTAAACCTACAGTTTGGAAACGCTACATTGACGATATCTTTTCCCTATGGGACATAAGTAAACCAGACATCGAAACCTTCATCGAACAAGCAAACTTACATCACCCAACTATCAAATTCACGTCCGAAATATCTGACACTGAGATAGTGTTTTTAGACACGGTTGTATACAAAGGCACAAGATTCAAGGAAAAATCTATCCTTGATGTAAAGACACATTTTAAAAGAACGGAAACCTTCCAGTACACACATTTCACCTCTTATCACCCACCGAGTGTTAAAAAAGGATTTGTCTAAGGAGAAGCCTTGAGAATCCTACGAACAAACTCCTCAAAAACTACGTTTGAGGAAAATATTTCAAATTTCAAAAACGCTTGATTGTAAGAGGCTACCCACAAACTATGATAGAAAACCTTCTATCAGATATAAAGTTCACAGAGAGGGAGTCTGCTCTCCTGAAACACAACAACAAAGAGGAAAAAGAAATATTGCCTTTCGTGACACAGTAATGGCCCTAAAGGACATGCTCGTTAGAGCTAAAGTATAAAACGTTAGCACAAGGTTTCATGCCGGTATAGATGTGCTGCCTGTCACCCCTTGTAACAAAAAGTCGTGCCAATAGAACAGTCGTGCCAGAGAAAACTAACATCGTGAAATAGAAACTTGATGAGAAAAATTATGTGGCACTAACTGGGCTCCGTATGAATCTGTCTGCAGGTGTTCTTTGATTGTAGTGATTTTTGTTCAATAAAGCTTAGTATGATATTGCTTCTCCAAGCTTTTAAAACACGTACACGAATGAGTAAAATTTCATCCCAAATATCATAAAAATGCCCCCTGCGTCTTGTGAATTCCAGTTATATGATGTGGATATCAGGGGGGTTTTTCGTTGAGAAGCAGTTGACCTAGGGGACTTTGTCTTAACTCCTTAACTTTGTTCCACCCAGTACAATCCCCCTAGTTGGCCCGGGGGTCTACCCCCGGGGCAGGCCGATGGCATGTTCTCTGGGAACTGAGTATTGATCATATCCCATATTACCTTTCGGGGTGATTGTCGCGTGCAGTTTTGCGACAACCTTTCGGGTGACAATTTTCCACGGGCGTAGAGGGAGGGTGAGTTTTCGTTACTCAATTAATTAGTCAGCGGTAGTTTGGCAAAATGAAGAGGGACTTCCGGTTAAATGATCGAGCTTCCTCTAGGGACGCTTCCGGTCGACTTTTTGACCTTATTTATGGCCCTTTTTCGCAATCTGGCGGAAAACCAGACGAGCGAGATCAAGGTTTTCAAGCGACAATTATGAAGTCTTCCGTGGACGAAGTAAGGGAAAAAGGGATTGCATTTCTTCAAGGAAATGTTGACAATGTTCGCTTTTCGGAGAATTACTGTTTTGCAGTTCATAAAGGAGACGCAGAAAGTCTAACTGATTTGATCGACAGATATCTTTCTTTGAATTCGACGTAAAGATAATTATCTTCATGTTTTCATATCCTTCGTAAACTGTCTCCATACCAAATTATTGTGGTTATTTGCTTGAAGTGGCTCCTTGATTGTCTCTTAATTTGCACATACAGCTCAGCCCATTTTTGAACACAACAGAGGAAAAATCCCCATTACTTTCTTTGGAGTCCCCTTTACAGTAGAAAGCTCTGAATCCAGACATTTCGTTCATGGATCGTTGAAGGTCATAGTAAATTAAACCCGGCAGTTTCTATTATATTTTGTTTATCAGCATGTTTGGAAGTTGGTCAGGATTATTTATTTTTTCTCATTTTTATGTAAGGGGTCATGTAAGTGGCCGACCATTTAACTCTTGAGGGGGGGGGGGGGTGATTTTGAAAAAAAAATTCCTGCAAGCGCTTGTCAGAAGAAAAAAATTGCATGCAGCACAAATGTAATAGAAAGCTTATGGCAAAAAAAGGGGGGAAAATATCCTGCCCACCAGATTGCTAAAAAAAATATTCTTGATAACCAGAATCACCAGCCCCCCTCCCCCTCAAGAGTTAAATGGTCGGCCCCTAAGTGAAGAGCGTAAAATCGCACAGAAAGTTAAGTTCGCTCGTATTGCTCATGATTGAGAGTTAAACATGAAAGTCTGCGGATCTTTAGAGTGGCCGGGGGTGTTGGAAAAACAAAATTTGTGGTGTTTTGTTTAGTAGTTTGTTGAATTGATTGTTACTGATTTTAAAGTAGAAACCTAAGGTAAAACAGACATGATTTTCCATCGATTCAAATTATTATCTACATCATCTAAATCTACTTCTACCTATATTAAGTCCGTAAAAATCGCTAAGACATCACACCAACCAATATGTGGTGCTCCAAAATTTGCCTTATTTCCCAGTCTCATCAAAGCACAACAACAAAACTAACACCATTTCGACATCAGCCAAGACTAAAACACTGATAGAATTTCGTCTTTCATGTTCTTTAATATGATTTCTTATTGCAAGCACTCTCTAGCAGAAGCAAGCCCTTCCAAGAACTAAAACATTTAAAAGTGCTCATAATTTCGAATTAGCCCCTCCTCCCTTCCCCCTCATTCGACAATGTCGAAACTAAAGCGCCGATTGGTTGACCTGGTTTGTACTATGCTTCAATTGCAGGACTCGAGGGGTGGGTCTAAAAAAAATGATGCTCTGTCGTATCGGATATTTTTGATTACAAGAGAATGCGTGACAAATACAATGATCCTAATAACTTCAATATCAAAATAGAATCTACAAACCACTGTTATTACTGTTATTTCTTTTCGGCAAATACCGGGTTATAGCATAGATTCGCGATTCGGAATTCGCGGCTGCGTTAAAATAGAACAAAGAAAAATGCTTTTTAGTTTTTAGAGACATCGTGATTGCGGTGAAACTAAGTGAGAGTGAATCGTGAATAAAATTAGTTACATCCAACTACTGTACTTGTGACTTGTGGACAACACTGTTATTGGGAGGCAAAACATTCCCCATAATCGAAGCATTTTTTTTTTTTGGTTTTGAATTCCGGCCCCTATCAATCATCCCCGTCACTTGGAATCAATACAATATATATTCCAATACATCAAGTACCTACCACAGCGTTGAAGGACACCGCTGACTAGTTAATTGAGTAACGAAAACTCACCCTCCCTCTACGCCCGTGGAAAATTGTCACCCCAACCTTTCTCGAAATAGCTGTTTTCAGGATACGAGTTCCGTTTTCCACGCCACATTAATATTACGTTATCCTCCAGGAACACCGCATCATCGCTATCAGGTATTAGCTGTAGAAATGGCTGTGTCATATCGCTCTGTGTTTATACTTTGGCTGTCTTTAACTACGTTGTGCTTCACCCTTGGCAAAGTGAAAAGATGCGAAAAGATAAATATTCCTGTGTGCGAAAATATTGGTTACAATTTAACTTACATGCCAAACATGTTCAACCACGATACGCAAGAGGAAGCAGCACTTGAAGTTCACCAGTTTTGGCCTCTCATAGAAATCAAATGTTCGCCAGACTTAAAGATCTTTTTGTGCTCTATGTATGCTCCGAAGTGCGAGTTGCATGCCAAGGAAAACGAATTTCCTCCTTGCCGATCACTCTGTGAAAGTGCGAGAAATGGCTGTGCTCTTTTAATGCGTCAGTATGGTTTCGCGTGGCCCAAGCGATTGAGATGCAAGCAATTTCCCAAGCTTGGGCAAAACAAGACCTGTTTGCATTCTAATGTAACCGAGATAACCCAAGCGTCAACAACATTGTCAACGACTTTGGCTGTGGCACCAACTGGTAAAATCTCTAACTGGAGAAAATGTGAAAAGATCAAGATTTCGATGTGTGAAAACACCGGATATAATTCAACCTATATGCCAAATATGTTCAACCATCACACACAGGCAGAAGCGGCTCTTGAACTTCATAAATTCTGGTTGCTAGTGAAAGCGAATTGCTCTTTAGAAATGAAGAGATTTTTATGCCACCTTTATGTGCCTAAGTGCGAGCCGCACATAAACAACGTCTTGCTTCCGTGTCGACGATTATGCAGAAGAGTAAGGACGGACTGTGCCTCATTCATGAATCAGCATAACATTGATTGGCCCCATCAAATGAACTGCGAGAACTTTCCTGAACTCGGAGATGACAAGACATGTCTGGATCCTGAAGCAGTAGTAACAAGACACAAAGACGGTCCTTCCAGCCGGGCTGTGAGTGGTCTTTCGACCGCGACTATAGTTGGAATTGTTATTGCTACAGTTGCTGTAATCACCGTGGTTGTCGTTGTCGTCGCAGTATGCCATGACAAGAAAAGGAATCCAAACAGGTACCGGTCTGTCCTGCGCTCAGCGCCTGCTTCTTGGCCCAGGTCCGTGGTATACAAAAGCACCCCCCATTGCAGTGCGACGCAGCCCCTTGCTGTCTAGAAGCTGGTAACTCTGTGCATCCAACGGGCATACCACCACCACCGTACTCAGAAAGCTGACTTGTCCCCAGTCATCTCTATTTGGGTAGGACGCCAGGACGGAATGCGAGAAGCGTGACCGAAGAGATCGCGAGAGACAGTCTTAACGGTGCGCTCCTTT